TCCAGCACCTTGTTGAATCTATGCCATGAAGAATTGAGGCAGTTCTGAAGGCAAAAGGGGGTCCAACCCATTACTAGCATAGGGTACCTAATAAAGTGGCCGGTGAGTGTGTATATATATATTATTTTAGGTACAATAAAGAAACTTTTGAGAAGTCTATAGAGAGAGATTTTATTTTGCTCTTTAAGTTAATTCTATAATGATACGAAGAATCTGTTGTTTGCCTGGGGTTCCAAACAGGCTAGGACCGCCCATGACTGCAACCTAATAATGGATAAGAACATTAAAAAAAACTAAATCTAATCTAAACAAGACTGATCTTTTCTGCCAATTTGATTGATCAGAGAATTCTGCTTTATTTCATTTCGACATCCTCCATGAGAGCATTTAATTTAGTCTGAGAACAAATCGATTCTTATTTTATAAGGGTTATAACAATAAAACCAAATCTGAAAGCGAGAGAAAAGACAGGCATATTTCCCCCTGGAATCTTTTTGTGTGTGCTCTGCATGTGCTGCCAGAGGAATGCAGAGTTTGAGAAAAGTTAGCAAAAATCAGCATGATGAGATATTGACTCTAATTCTGTAACTTCATTTTATGCATCAAGTGGCAAACAAGATATCATACCGCTCATAATCCTCAGCCTCCCCGAACACACAGAGGCCTCCCACAGACCCCATATTGATATTGATGGGGGAAAAAATGTCTCACATCTGGGGTCCACACACCACAACACACACCTGAAATAAGGAGGGCGCAGCACGCAAGCATGCTGGGAGCAGCATACTTGGCTGCCCTACTAAGTCCCTCCACGTCTGACATATGTCATTCCCAATCTGTTCAACAGGCCACACGGCTCTGCTGCTGCAGCACAGAGGGTGGCAGAAGATTGAAGGAAAGGGCACAGAGGGACAGAGACGGTGAGGAGTGCATGAAACCAGCAGAGAGAGAGCTACTGCTGGTGGCTGCAGTGTTTTCCATATTAACTGGTGGTTTGGAACAAACACCATCTGCTCCTCAACAAAGTTAAACCCTCAGTGAAAACAGATGTCACAACCCCTGTATACATTTACCAGCAGCCACTTTAAATGATTTAAGAGCAATGAGCTTCTTGAAACACAAATCTGCAGCCAAACTGACAGGCAGCTGTTGTTTGCACTGTAAGGTTTAGGCATTCTTAATCTTATCTTGGGCCCAACAATAACAAAAATGTACATATATGAGAATGAACTAAGGAAAATTTGTGCGTTGGACTTTATTATTTTTTTGTATTTTTTGATTATTTTTTATGTAAGATTGGAGGGATAAGTATGATTGAATTTGCACCCATAACTTAATAAAACTAATATAAATTATGAACGGAACTTGGTTGCCCTCATGTGGCAGGGTGATGTAAACACAGTCAAGGAAAATCCTTTTTTTGTAAAGGTGCTGAGTATTGGACAGATAGACAAAATGTCATTCAGTGAGTCTTAAAATCTATGAATAGATATTAACAACTCTATCAATACCAGGATACATGTTTCCTTATGAAAACAGGACTCACAATAGACTCTAATAGTGTCTGTATAACTAACTAAAAAAAATAAATTAGGGGACTGAAGCTGATCAAAAACTGCCATTGCTAGAGTCTTTATCAACAACATAGACATAAATAAATGCAGCTGATCCATGTATGTCAAAACATAAAGCAAACTTTTTTATTAATGTTTGCAGTGGCCTTTGTTTACAGTTATCCTTTAGAGCAGCACTGAAACATTATTGTTCACTTTGGCTTAGCCACAAAGATGAAAGATTCGCTAATCATTTTAATCTTGTCTAGAATTTATGTTTGTTTTAGTTTAATCAATTTAACATTAATTTCTTTTATTTGAACTTTTTTTTTTTTTTTTTTCACTTTTATATAAGCTTTTTAAGTTTGTTACATTGATCCTATTTTGTTTGTTGCTTGATTGTGTCTGTAAACTAACGTGTATAAGCTGAGAAAATACTTTTCTTTATCTAACATGTAAAAAATTATTAAAAAAACAAACAAAAATTTCACATTTTTCTCAATTCAACCTTTTTATATGCTTTAGTGTAGATGAAGGGATCAGTAATGATCTGGAGTTGAGTTATTTTTCCTGCTACTGGAAATACAATTTCCCGAAGGGAGTAATCCCAAGGGATTAATAAAGTCAAGTCTAAGTCTAAGTCTGTCCTTTACCTCTGAGGGTTGTAGGTGCATCACTTTTTCACTACCTGAATAAAAACCTCACATGTTGTTTCATATAAATTGTGACATTCACCAGTCTTAGCCGAAGGCAAAACTCAGAGAAGTCAATGGGATGTAACCACAACTGAGAAGTCTATAATTTTCTGAGAAATGTCCTTTTTTTATATATGAGTTACATTTATCATGTCTTTAATTTAGTTTTCTGATAACAGACATTCACGTGGAAATCGTTGGATTTTGTTTGCCCTTAATAGTAAAAAGAAAGTATGATCAAAAGTGGGATCTTGCAAAACTTTCTTTAGTATTTATTTTGTAAACCTTTAGAATCCGTTAGTTATGCAGGCAAGAAAAAACTGGATTTGAAATTCAAACATTGATAAGGGTCATATCATAAAGTTGTCTTTGAAAAGCGTTGTCTATGCTATTATCAGTCGTATCTGACAGTATAAACCGAGCTCCCTGGGGATTCCAGGCACACACCTCAATGCCTTGGCCTTGTTTTACATCTCCAATCTGTTACAGTGGAAACTCCCCTGCTTCAATCCCACGGATGATTAAACACGATAATTAAGGTTTTTGGACGTTTTCCACAGAGGAGCAGACGTAGCAGCTGGTGACATTCATGCATTCCCAAACAGGGAGGAGGGAATTACAATGATGCTCTCATTCTTTTTCAGCTCTCACAATGTCTGGTCTTAGCATCAAAATAGTCAAAAACAGACAATTTCTTGGCTATTTTGTAACTCATCTCAGTAGCTTAAAATCAGTAATAGAGTACTTTGATGTTTGGATCTGAACATTTGGAAATCACATAGATAAGTAGATAGGACTTAATATCTCTAGAAACAGACATGAACTTCTAAGTTGTTACAGGAAATAAAACAAAAGTCAACTTCAAGTATTTTTGGTTTAGTATCTGCTTTTGAGAAACCATCCATTCATCCATTTTCTGTCACGCTTTATCCCAAGCGGGGTCGTGAGGGGTGCTGCTGCCTATCTCCAGCTGTCCAAGGGCGAGAGGCGGGGTACACCCTGGACAGGTCGCCACTCCATCACAGGGCAACAGAGAAAAACAGGACAAACAACCATTTACACACAAAAGAAATCAATTAACCTAACAGTCATGTTTTTGGACTGTGGGAGGAAACCATAGTATACGGAGAGAACCCACGCATGCTCAGGGAGAACATATAAATCCTGTGCAGAAAGACCCTGAGCCAGGAATCAAACCCGAAACCTTTTTGCTATTCACTACCCACCGAGCAGCCCATAAGAAAACCAAGCAACCAAGAAAATCTAAAAAAAAGCTAAAAAATATATACATAGGTACAGTAGCCCTATTTACCCAAATTGAACTTAGAGCTCAGTTTAAAGGTTGCTCCATTTAAGTAGTAACACCAAACTACAATAGACTAGCTGCATAATGTTCTTATAACCATGGATGTGGGTGTCATCAAAGATTTTGCTCAGTGCAAAAACAAAACACAGCTTACTCCACCGCTCTGGACTACTCTAAGGATTGTGGTGACAGTTTAATGCTTTGGGGTGTTGTTTTTCTGCAACAACTTAAGATCTGTTTTTTTCTTACCACAAAAAGAGAAAACATAGAATTTTGCAGGTAGAGCCTGGACTTGAATAACACTGAACAAATGAGCTATACTATGATCCATTTATTTCTTTTCCAAGTATTTAAATTAGCTTTTTATTGAGTTGCAAATTATCTATTCCATTTATGTCTGTATTTTTTGTAACAAAAGCCACTTTTAGGGGTGTATTCAAAGGAAACCTAAATTATTAGTTTACATTAAATCTAATTTGGATGTTAAGAACAAATTTATTTTAGCAATCCTGATGAGGTATCTTTGAAATGTAATGATAAAAGATTTTTCATCTTTTATAAATAATATTTCATTTATTCCAGAGACATGGGAAAGGGTATGGAGTCTGAAAGAGAGCAAAATACTTAATTTCCCAGAATTTAGTGGCACCTTGGAAGAAAATAAGCAATCTGGCTAAAATCTATGAATTAGATAAGGAAATATTCGAGTTCAATCCAATCAGTGCTATTCCTCCATGGTCATATCCTGAGACAAAAGTGGAGGGTTTATAAAATTAAAAACACTTGGAAGCTAAATGAAGTAGGTGATAAAACAAATGTTTTTTAGTGGTCAGGAGACAACAGAAAAGTCATAATTAGAAATTCAACACAGTTAATTTAGGTTGTCTAAGGTTGGTATAGATGTTCAGTCTGGTTGGGCACCAGCCCATGGAGGAGTAAAATATAATTAAATGACAGACACATTTGCTAAAAGTGCTTTAAAAAAAGTCGGTAACAAAATATAGAATAAGTGCATGAAATTTAATTTCATGCACTTAATCTATCTGGGTCTCAATCATGGCACGATTTCCAAAAACTATACATTTTTGTTTCACCACAATAAAAAAAAAAGAAATTGGGAGGAAAGACAACAACAAATGTGAGAGATGTGAAGCAAAAAAAAAAAAACTGTACAACATAGAGTTGAACTGTGAACTGTGAAGAGACGAAAGAAACAGACTGTGTGCAGAAGTCAGAAAGGCAGGGAAGAATGGGAATTGGAGGGACTATAAGGAAATAAATGAAAAAAAAAAAAAAAGCCCGTATGATTAAAAGAGCATTTTTACCTACATTACAAAACTCTAATAAATATAGACGGTGGGAGCTGTTGTTGTTACACACTAATGTGTGATAGGTGGCGGTATGGGGCAACAAGCTGTTTTCAACGTGTAATGATATGAGAGAAGAAGAAGACTCCATGGAAACGGTCTATTGGCGTGCTACATGCTAGCTAGTTGGATAGCAAGAAGTGAGAGGACGTTGCTGTGTGCAGGATAGATTGATCTCCGTCTGTAAATATGAGTCGTACGCCTGATGCGAGAGCCAGGTAAAACTGATTTAACACGCAACTCACCATTCAACTGATTTACCACGTCTAAGATATCAGTTAAGAAGCTCAAACCCCACAACAACACGGGTCTTGAATAGTTAAGCAACCTGTTAAGATGCATTTATTTGATCAACTATTCAAATTCATAGGGCGATGCTATTGAATGCTTTAATCTATTGCCTGTGTGTCTATCAGTCGCTGTTGTTATCTCTAAACATGTGAAATGCACATCATCCCATCCTCTCTATGTTTAGACTGCCGTTATCTATTATTATTATTTTTTATTTATATATTTTTTTACACATAAAATTTCAGAAATAAATAAACCCTAAAATCAGTCAGTTTTGTGCAGTGTCTTCCAATAGTATTCATCGCCAAAAAATGTTTTAACCACATCATTAACTTTATGTTGTCTGTATTGGTAAAAATAAACCTAGCTGTTATCAGCTGCCATTGAATCAACATCATTTGGTTGATTTGGATAACGGTTTAATTTTGTAGATTTTGATCTAATCGACGTAGAAATAGTAACCTCATTTCTATGGCATGTTTCTCAACATAAAAATCACAAACAGGACAGCAGAGACAAATAGGGAAGAGGATTAGGGCCACTGGAAAAAATTAACTGAATTTTAAATATTATTTCAGTTTAATATGGGAAAAAAGTCAGATTTTTTACTTTAATCTGAGAATTCTGACTTTAATCTCATAATTCTGACTTTTTTCTCATATTATCCTGAAATAAAATTGAGAAATCAGTTCACTTTTTTGTGTGTTTTTCAGTGGCCCTAATCTCTTCCGTAGACAAAAAAACCCCTGAAATTTTAAGTCTCCTGAATCGATTATTATCATACCTACTATTATCTATTATACATGCTCTATTGCAGCAGAATTCACTGCAAAATCTAAAGGTACCACATGACTACAAAATGTTCTCAAAGCAGCCTGTGGCAGGCCAAATAATAATCTTAAGTTTTATTTCCAAACCTGCTGACTCTGTAAAACATGTGACGAAATGTTTTCACCCAGGTGCCCAATGAACCATCAGTTTGGACAAAGTATAATGCTAATCGACAATTACTGATACATTTAATTTGACCAAGTTCTGCGCTGGTAGATGAAGAAATTATCAAGACTCAACTCAAACATCAGATTGAGAGTTGAGTTGAGCTTTTAACATGGCTTCCTCATTCATGTTTCAACACTCTTACAGTTAATTAACAACAGTTAATTAATCTGTGTGGGTGTTGGAACAAAGTTATTTTTCAACTGACATATATCGGTAAGGCATGTTTGTAAAAATAATGTTTATTAGACCTATAACTCAAAAATGGTTTATATTTCAACACTGAATCCATGAGGAGTTAACAACACAATTTCAACTGTTTGGTGTTCAATGTTGCTTTGATGTTGAATATTTTCTTTCAACAACTTTTAAATGTTTAACATCAGTCTGGGAAATGGGAACTGAAAGTTCTTCAATGTTTTAGATACTAAATGTGGTTGGTAGTTGTACTCATCTGCCCTGAGACACTCTGGAGATGATATTTGCTGCAATTTCAGGATGTTTTTCTCCACCATCATTACACATCTACTAAATGTTTTCCCCATATTTCCTTGGGAAGCAGCTTAACCTCAACCAGATTATATAGGATCTGTGAACATCAACTTGTAATTCTTGCTTAAGATTCTCAATCACACTTAGGTCTTAACTTTGATGTGGCCATTCTAAGCCATCTATTACTTAGATCTCATCTATTCTGGCTGTCTCTTAAGAGCTGCTGTTGCACTGAAAGATGAACTTCTGCCTTTGCAGCCTTTAGCAAGTTTCCTCCCCAGGATTTCCTTGCATTTAACTTTGTCCTCCCGTGAATTCACGACAATCTTTACCATGTTGAATGAAAGCATACCTACAGCAAGAGGCTGTAGGGAATAAGATCAATTAGTTTTATAGTGATGCGCGTGAGGTTCACATTCAAATGAGCAGGCGTGAGCAAATGCCGACCCAAGTAACACATTGTCAGCAAGCTGTCCCAACTGAAGTCTGATGTCTGGAACCATTTTGAATTTAAAACAGCTAAAGATAATGTGCTGATATGAGACATTAAGGTGGCTTCCCACTACACTGATAATGAGTGACGCCTTGCATCTCGTGGTACAGACCACCAAGTTTACTTCAAGCCAGAAAGCCTTTAGGTTGACTGAAGACATTAACAAATGGGGCCTGACCAGCAAAAACCCTGTAGCTGTTACAGACAACACTGCAAATATGGTTTGTGCATTGAAGATAATGCAGTTCATGCATGTCTGCTGTGTCCCTGCTGTGTCACGTCTGCTTGCTTGAGTGAGGCTTCACTTTTTCACTTTTCACATTTGGGCTTATGAGACAGTTTTGTTCACATCTCCATTTTAAACTGTCTGATTTACAAGTTACGAGTTATGGAAAAGACAGGTCGAATCAAAATCAATCAATGTATTTAGAACTGTAACAATAGAAATCGAATCAATTCAGGACTTTGGCAAAAATACCCAGCCCTAGTCCCAACTTTTGTTTCATTACTGGATGGTGTGCTCACAGCGTGATGTGCTTGGTTAGTGGCATGCCACACCTTGCATTTTGCACTTTTTCTAAAGTCCAAGTTTTTGCTGTCCTCTACAGTATGTGTTTTTAGGTAAACTTTGAACAGGCTTTTTCTCAGCAATAGCTGTTCATCCCAAAAGGCCAGATCTCTGGAGTATATGACTACTAGTTGTCCTGTAAATATCTTCTGACTTTATAATCTCTGCATCCCCTCTGAAAATAGTACAGGTCCCTCATCTCCTTCTTTGTTTATTCTACATTTGCCTGGACTGCTACTTTAATTGGATGCTTGTATTTGTGGAATACTCCATACTTTCTGTTTCTAGACATTCCATTAAACAGTCTTCCATCTGATGTTCAAAAGTTGTTTTGTTTTATAATCTAACCTTTTTGCAAACTTCCCCCAAATCTTTATTCCTGACCTGTCTTGTGTGTTCTTAGTTCTTTAACATGATACTTGCTCTCTGATGTTTTCTACTTATTAAAACTTCACAAATATGTTTCTGTTGTATTGTTTTTATTTTTTATTGTATTTAAATAATTTTCATTATTCCTTTTCAGAGATAAGCAGACGAGGAAGATCCAGGAGAACATCACCAATGTGGAGAAACACTTTGGAGATATGTGCCAACTGTTTGCTGCCTACACCCGCAAAACAGCCAGGCTACGGGACAAGGCAGACCTTCTAGTCCAAGAAATCAACTTGTATGCGGACACAGAGACACCTGACCTAAAGAGAGGGATGAAGCAGTTTGCAGAACACCTTGCCAAGATTCAAGACTACCGCCAGGCTGAGGTAGATTTTTTATATATTTTACGTATATACATCATCTTAAATGAAATAATAAATCTAACATTTAATGTTACCTTATAGGTGGACAGGCTGGATGCCAGAGTCATAGAGCCATTAAAAGCTTATGGAGCTGTGGTGAAACGTAAAAGGGTAAGGTATATGAAGAACCCCGTCAGGCTTCATTCACTGCTGCACAATGAATATGTGAGGCAGTTATTTAAAAACATGGCCACTTGAGGCTGTTGCAGAGCCTGCAAAACTGTAGAAACTCTTGCAAGGCTGCAAGAGGGCAGTATTGGTTCAATGATGATGTGAAATACTTTAAGCAATAGTAAGCACCTGCGCTGCTTGAGACTGAAAATTGAAAACAGGATCTTAAAGAATTTCCTGTTGTTAGTTTTTTGGGATTTGGTTTTTATGACATCATTTTTTTTTTTTTTTATCCAAAGAAGGTGTCTGCCTTGATGTAGGTATATTAAATTTCTTGCTCATCTGCTGCAACTCTGGCACTTATTCAAACATCTTGCAAAATAAAACCATTGAAAGACACAGTGGGAAACTAGCTGTTTTAAACATTACTTTGTGAGGCCTTTTTTCACCTTGATAGCTGACCTAAAGCTATGGACACCTGTAACAGGTTAACAAATTCCGTATGTGTTGCAAGAGTGCCACATATGTTGTGGCTCACTGTTTATGTTCAACATTTAATCTGATTGAAATGGTGAGAAACATGTATTCAGATTTTAACACATACCTAAATGTTCTGTGTCCCTGCAGGAGGATCTGAAGGCAACGCAGAGTGCCCTAGACAGAGAGGCCAAACAAATGGCTCAACTGGAGAAGACCAGGCTCCGAAACCCTGCAGACAGACAGATTATTGTATCCTTGCTTTGTTTCTCTTTAGTTCTTAACCGGAAACATTTATCTATCAATGGTTGACGTTCAGCATTTAGCTACAGAACTTAAATTTTCCTCACTTATTTCCTTGATCAAATCTTCAGTCTCAGGTGTGTCCCATGTGAACCTTGCAGCTCCGTAATTTCCTCAGTTTTACAAAGTTGAATTTGTCCTCTATGGTGGAGCATCTAAAATCATATTTTCCTAAACATTTTACAAGTTTATATTGCCTTTTAGTATATGCATTTTGTTGCCATCAGGCTGAGAGCGAGCTCCAAAGAGCCACCATGGATGCCACACGGACCACCAAGAAGCTGGAGGAGACCATAGATGAGTTTGAGCGGCAGAAAATCCAGGACATAAAGGTTGTTGTTTTTTTCCTAATTGTCTTCCGGTTGTTTTGTTCCTGTGGAGCAGTGGGGAACAGTTAATGGAAACCAAACAATGATGACTTGGGCAGTCTTTCAACTCTGCTTAAACACAGGCCCATCTTAAGCTGTTTGAAACTATTCCTACAATTCTCTTTCCCCTTGTCAGCGCACGCTCACTTTCGCTGTTGATCTTATCAGTCTCTTCTTCTCCGGTAGAAAGTCTTGGGTGAATTTGTGACAGTGGAGATGTCTTTCCATGCCAAAGCTTTGGAGATCTACACTTCTGCATTCCAAAGTATCCAAAGTGTGAATGAGGAAGCAGACCTGGAGGTATGGGAATCTCTGTGTAAAGTTAAAATATATAATCACGGGCTCACAAACTTTTTATTTATCTCAGAGGTATGATAAACAACCAGCATCTTCAGTTAATATTAAAAACAACTGAAATAGTTCACTAACACCCACTGAGAAAAAGTCATGCATACAGGTTGCAGAGAAATTACAGATTTTCACAGTTAAAACCAGTTTCTGGCATGATTTTTGTCTGAATATTTGACCTATGAGAAATGGTTGTGCTCAATAGCTGGTTTCATGTTCCAGAGAAGCTTTAAAGCATAGTCTGTTGATTTAAGTTTGGGGCCTTTCCAGGAGCTTTATACTAGACTGCTTTTTCCCTTCTAAAGCCCGCTTTAATGTGCATTTGGGATTATTATTATTATTATATATTATCATCTTGAAATGCCCAATTTTGGCCATGTTTAACCATTTAGCAGCAGAGAATAATGTAAAACAGGATGTGGTCTTTCATTATTATTCCATCTACTGCATGATGATACTAATAACGTACTTGATAGCGCACACTCCTTGACTAAATGTCTTGTTGTCATTGTGGTCAAACTTGCAGTCTTTATCTACTCTTATTACAAAACAACATTGAAGATTATAGTTTTACATCAGAACCAATAAAAAGCATCTTCTAATACAGAAATGTGATCTTATTGAAAGATATTTTCCCTGATTAAGGCACACAGACTACATATCAATACATAATGCTCATTATATACCAATACTTTCCAGTTCGTAATGCAGACTTTTCTGACACATCCTGAGCCAATAAAAAAGTACTTGGCCTTAAAGTTTCAACTTTTAAATTAATTGCAAATGGAAAATGAGAAAATTTTGTATGCTTGTTTTAAAAGTCGTCTGGTATTTTTTCTTGTTTTAGAAAGGCTTCTTCTGCAAACAATCTATTAGTTGTGTTCTCTGCTATTTCAGTGTTTCTCTGGAGTTGGCAGCAAATATTTTCAAAAACACTAAAGCATAGTTATTCAAGAGTTTGGTCATGGTTTGGTGAAATCTTTCACTAAATGATGCTCCTGATACTTCAATATTTTGAAGTTTCTTTTCTTTTGGTCTTTAATCTATAGGGCTCAAGACTTAGACCACTTTATTAATCCCACTAGGGGCAATTCGTTTAAGCAGTACATGAGGCAAACAAGCAAAAAAATAAAAAAACATGTAATAGCATGAAAAAATAAGATTTAAAAAATAAAAAAATGAGAATCAAAATTAAGAATGATAAAAAAACACTTAAAGATAGCAAAATGATAACACAGTTATCTTTAAAAACACACACACACACACACACACACACACACAACCAACTTATATAGAGTTTAAAAGTCGAATGGCTGCTGGTATAAAAGAATTTGCATAGCGGTTTATTTTACAATGAGGTGTTACAAAGCGACATCCTTAAGGCGACAAAGAGAATTAATTTTTAAGAACATGTTCTGATGAAGAGAAGATCACTTTAGCTTTTTTTCCAATTTGTTTATTACAAAAGGAAGGCAAGTCCCTCTTGTTCACTCCTATGATTTTAGAACAGATTTCAGCTACACAACTCAGTGTTTCATTCAACCTTTGCTGCTATAATGGCTTTACCCCTTCTAGAAGGCTGTCCACAATATCTAGTAGTGTGTTCAAGGGAAGTTTTTCGATCACTCTTTTAAAAGCCAATTCATGGAATTATAGGCTGATGTTGGCTAAAAATGCCTGGTACTAAGTTTGTAATTACTTTCCAAGGTGTTCCCTTGGGTTCAGGTCCAGACTCTGTGAGAGCCAGCCAAGCTCACCCAAACCCAACTCTCTCTTCAATGTCTTTTTTGCTGCACTCTTATGTTCAAGGAGAAAGAGACCATCTCCAAAAGTGTTTCCAGGAAGTCGAGAGCATGGAATTGTCCAAATGCTCTTGGTATGCTGAAGCATTCAGAGTTTAAGTAGAAAAAAGGAGTCAAACCCAGCTTTTGATTAACAAACCTACGCCATAATCCCTACTCTACCAAACTTTACACTTGGCACAACGCAGTCAGACAAGTACTGCTTTCCTGGCAACTACCAAACCCAGGCTCCTCTGTAAGATTGCCATATAGAGAAGCTCAATAAGTCACTCTTGAGACGGCACTTCCATTGCTTCACATTTCAATCCCTCGTATTCTATGAAGCTTTCTACACACTTCTCTTGAACTAATCTGAAAGCCATGTAAAGTTTGTTGATATGTAGCATTTGATTTTAAATAAAGTTGGGAACCTCTATTGAGCATCAGAATCTCCTACACCCCTCCATCACTATAAGAAGCCCATTAATTCATGGTTGATTGGCTTTTCTTTCTAATTACTTCCACTTGCTTATAATACTACTGGTTTATAGTGGAATATGTAAGAGCAAGGACATTTCTTAAGTGGACTTTTTACGTACAGCACCAACCTGGAACTGACTGAGCTCCTGAGAGCAACAAACGGTCTGTATTGTTTAAATAATGTGGATTTGCTTGCCTACAATAATGCGGATTGTGAGCGAATATGTTTGGTGTAGTTGCTCCTGTAAAATAATCCAAGGTTATGAGCTTTCTCAAATGCACAACAAACTCCAATTCAACCATTCAACTGTCACTAAAAGACTACCACCAGGATGTAAACAGTTGCTTGGTGCTACCCTCCTAGCTCAAGATCCTTTAGGAGCTTGTTTATTACAACTCCTGGATGATTTTGGTCTAAATTTTAGTTTCATCTACACCCTCTGCTCTTTGTTTGATAAAGCTGAGGGTTTTGTTTTAAAGTCCCCGCATATCATAGTCCACGCCCTGTGGCTTAACTTTGAAGTCATCTGCGGTAAATACTGAACAATCCGATCAGTCATGCCAGCCTGTTCTCCTTTGTCTACCATCTGCTGAGAGGTTCTCTCTGCTATTTGAGGAAAGAAAGGAAAAAACAAAGGATCAATGATTCCCTGTGAGCTATGTTCCTTCTGCGGATGCCCTTGTGTTGTTTTCCCTCCACCCGTCGCTGTCTAATTTGTGTGTTTTTGCAATGAATCATCTGCCTTTCATTCATACTGAAACAAAACTCTTTACTGAGATCACTCTGGTTTTCAGCAACTCCTCATACATAACTTGGGAGATTGAATCATTTAAAACATGCACAATGATAAGCATGAGGGAAATCCTGATCTGGAGCCAAAGCTCTCTATCACACTGATTGCACCTCTGAGATTCTTTCATTATCTAAGCACACTGACGACCCACATGTAGATTTGTCCTGTTATCATATTCTACAGTAGTTTTCAGAGATGTAAACCTTGCTCTAAAATTGCCATATTCTTATCTCACTGTTTTGATGCGGCTCCCCCTACTGCTTTTTGCAGGTGTTCAGGAGTTCTCTGCACCCCCCTCACTTCCAATCTCGCTTAGATATAGTGCGAGCCAATTCCAAAGTATCCCTCGATCAGACTGGCTCCTTCATGAGTACATCAGGAACCTTACAGGTAAGACATATATAGACTCCTGAAATGTTTTGACCAGAGTTTCCCTTAAAATTGCCTGTCTCAGCTTGCTCATAATCATTCCATCTTCCCTGTTTGTTGATGCAAAACTTTTACTGTTGTGCAAAAATAAAAGACAATCTTATTGTTTTTTTGTTTTTTTTACGGTTGCCTTCCTCGTGTCAGCATAGCTTTTTACTTGATGAACGAGTGTTACAAGAGTTGCCAGAGGATAATCGTTGTATTTCCCCATCCGTCATATTCGTGATTTGCACAAGTTACAACGTGCTGCTTATATAATTCCTTTTCTACAATATTAATGGTTTACCCAGCATCTGGACAACAGCACTGCTCTTTTTTATGGGTGGCTAATGCTATATTTACAAAAGTTTTGCTAAACTACTTACATTTAATAAATTTTCTATTTTTTTTTAATTACGACAAGATTATTTAATTAGTATTTCTGATACACCAGCAAAAAAGAGGGCATAATTACAAAGTGGAAGGAAAACCATATTTGGATTCGATTTTTTTAGGTACATATAAGCCACTGAACTGTGCGGTGTCTGTTAGTATGCAGTATTTATTCTGATACCCCAAAATAAAATCAATAGCAAAAAACGACTGTAAGTCAGCCTACTGTACTAGAAAGCTGTCCACCCATTTAGGTCTAAGGCTACTGCACTTCTATGAAGACCCAAGCTTGTTTTTTTGTAGTTGTTGTTGTTTTCAGTCTAGTTAACAGTATAACCAAGACATTAATCCAAAGATGAATTTGTGGAAAATTAAAAATGGGGTTTGGTTTAAAAAAACAAAAACAAAAAACAGTCAATCCATCATTTGAGTGAAGCAGCTACAGACTGTAAGTTACACTACAGACTGAGTGTAACTTTAGGGGGAGGTGCAGAGATCCTTAACTGTCAACAGGACAGTTATCATACAGTTCATGCACTGCTTTAATGTATTCTTCATGTAAGAGTGTCAAAAAGAAAGCTGTTATTAGAAAGGTCACAAGCAGCCCAACTTGCCGTTTGCCAGAAGCCACTGGGGACTCCAGCAGATGTAGAAGAATATGTTTTGTTTAGATGAAAAAAAAAAGATTGGACTTTCTGACCTACATGCCAAATGCATATAAGTCAGATGTGGTGGTAAAGTGGTAGAAAATCTATCCTGCAACTCAAAACGAACTTATTATTCCCATGTTTAAACATGGTGTTGGCAGCATCATGCTACGAAAACCCCTTTTATCCGGCAGGAACAGAAAAAACTTGTCAGATTTGACAGAATTATATACAGATCTTAATTCAGGGCAATCATGAAAAAAACGTTGTGGCTTTAGATGAATTCAAACTAGGAAAGTAATGTAAGTAATGAATGTTTCAAGGATTACTCACCCTAAGACTGACCTTTTTACTATAAAATATGCATGAATGTTTTATACCGCCTTCTACATGTTGAACTGTGTGGCGCCTTCTTCATGTTTATGAATGTAAGGCATCTGATTTTGAGTCAGTGTTGGTATTTGCTCAAAGGATTATGACATCAGTAGCTCTGCCACTGTGAGGTATGGAAGTCCCTCAGTTGCGTGCATGCCTCTGTAGTGAGTTGGCGGTGGAATAGTGAGCTTTAGCATCTTTCTATTGATTTTCAGGAATAAGATTCATTAGCTTAGCATTATGTTAGTTCATTCAGCATTTATTTTTCAAATCTTAGAAGTAGACGGAGTAAGGCCCTGCTATGAGTGGTAGAAGGTCTTTTTAAGATTATGTCTAATCGTGCTGAGGTTGATCTATTTTACAGTGTATATTGGCAGATATACTCTAATAGATTTTCATCTGTAATTCCTGCAAGAAATTATTATATAAAGCACTGACTCAAATTTAGATTGATTTTCAGATTTTACAACTATGCTAAAGTTTGTTTTGGGCTAATAGATAAAATCCCAATAAAAAGGAATTAATTCACGGGTATAATGTGAAAATTATGTTTAAGCATGAATTCAGTTTTATGGAAGTATAGCTGAGGACTTGTTGTTTTTTTTTAAGTTCTTGAATGATTTGAAGTTGCAAAAATCGTTAAATCAGTATTTTTAGATATTTAATCTGTCCAGAGATGTTTCGGATTAGAGGTTTCAGAGACACATTGCGACACAGTCCGGTCACACCAGCATGCCTGAAACTCGTCATACCTCCTCCTATGATTAGATTTGAATTTATCCGGTAGCACTCACTTCTGTTTTTAAGATACAGGCTGACTGTGAGAAACACATGTTGCAGAACCGGCTTACTTGATGGGTGAAACTAGAAACAGAAATCTGAAAGTAAAAACGTACCTTTTTAAGGAATGAATAATCTGACATCAGTGCCTGCTCATTTTACTATACGCTTAGCTGATGCACCAAATGCTCTGGATTTAACCAAAGCACAAACTGTGCCTAATAACTGTCTGCAAAGTGTTTTAGTTGCGCAGTGACTTAATTTGTTGTCACAGCAACAAAGAGCCAGCAGCCGCCAGACGAGAAGAGGGGATGAGGAGGAGGAGGATGATGAAGACGAATCTGAGGAGGAGGAGGGTGATGAGGATGAAGATGAAGAGGACTCAGACGACGAACATTAGGCTTATTAAACTATTTAGGCTTGCAGAAAAAAAAAAAGAAAGAAAACAAAAAAAGCAGATAAATTGTTTTACGAAATAAAGCTGTGATTCTGCCAAACAGTCTTTACCCAGTTGGAACAGTATTGTAGTTGTTACGTTACATAGAAGACTCATTTATGTTCTGGTATTTTTATTTTTGTCAACAGTTTCTTTGAGCTGTATTTTTATATGTCACACAGTGTCTCTGAATATGCGTTGTATTTGAATGATTTGCTATGTTCAAATAAAATGGTTCTCTGTGTAATAAAAGAATAAAAGTACACGGTGTACTCCTGCTCACTTTTCATTAGAAAAAAAAACAGGAGAGCGCTTGATTGTTATTTTAGAAACTGTCGAGAGAGTGAATCAGTCCAAGTGACAGTAGTTATGTGACGACCACAGTTAAAAGTGACTCATCTCTGCCACAGACATGTAAAAATGGAACAAATGGGAGACAGAAATATTTTGCAGGGAAACGTCCGTGTTCATGTGGGTGAATATGCATGTATGTGTAACATCAAGCCTTTCAGCAATCATGTCAGATTTTAAAAGACCTTTTCTGTGCGATTAGCATGTTGCGTGTTGACGATCTTGGTAGATGCTGCAGCCACAATGTCTGCTGATTTGTCTTGGATGAGTCACTCAACACATTTTATAGTTCTCAGCTGCTTTTGTCATAATTCATTTCTATTAACCTCTGACGCTCTATTGCATGCATGCACATCTGTTAGAAAAATTACAAAATATATACAAATTTACAGTCCTTAAACTTAATTTTCATCTATATGCAAGAAACACAAGGGATACTAGACCCTCCCCTACAGCAACGTTAATTATCTCACTGGCTGCCACTAAAAGGTGTGTAGGTGTCGTGTCATGAAACCTCTACGCAACAGCGCCCTAATGCATATAAAGGTTAATGTGTATGCAAACACAGTCATTTTAACATGCACTCACGTAGCCGTTTGTCTTTGTTGCACTGAATGGCCTGTGTTGCAGTGAGTCATCACCTGCAGTTTGTGTGATGGGGTGAGTCAGAAAACTTTTCCAATCGCAGATAAACCTTCCACTCCCCTATCACAGCGAAACAGGGTCTGAGAAGAACAAGGAAAAAGACTTGCACGATTGGAAATGTAGAAAACAGTCTCCTGATTTAGCTAAGAAAGTCAGGGGTGCCAGAGGAAGCAAGAGTTGGTTTATGAGTCAGCGACTGAAAGACAACAAGATGTAAAGGAGGTGGGGGTGGAAGGGGCAACTGGGAAAGGTCAGTCAAAGCTCCCGGTCCTTGTCATTGACTCATAGGCCGGCACTCCTATCAAACTCAACGCCTGCGGCGCCATCAGCCACCGCATGGTTTCATGCAAATGCCTTCATGTGCCCTATCTTTCCCTTGAGGAGAATGCCACTGATCTCACTTAGCCAAAAGCTTATTCATTGTGAACACAATTTTTTTATTGCTACAAATTGTTTAGACCTGTTTTAAAGAGACTGGCTTGAATAAAGTTTGAACAGCAGTGAATCTAAAATGCTTCCTCTATGTAGTAATTAGCTGATCTAAGCGATACAGCCGATCATACCAATAAGTTGCTGACTGGAAACATGCATGGGATTTTCTTTTACAGTTCTTGCTTGGCAGGCCAGGACTAGATAAATTACAGGATTAGATAAAGTTGGTATGTGGCATTCCTCTGGGTTTTTTTTTTTTTTTTTTTGGGCAACTTTTAATTCAAATCTTTATGCTCTCCCAAGTATAGATTCTGTTGACACTAAACTGTACATTTCTGTGTCACAATGCGATTATAGACTCCTTATACTAATAAAGCCAGCATGTTTATAGCATGGTAATGTTAAGTAGATGGGTCTGAATTTCCTCCAGCTTAATATAGGAAAGAGTTTGTCGTTGTTTTTTCCCCAACAATGCGAGGATCGATTTGGGTTCAGTGAGAGAAATAACACCAAGCATAATCATAGATGTTGTTATGGATACAGACTTTAGTTTTAACATCCTGTCTCCAAAAAGGCCTACTGTCATCTTTAAAGTTTTGTTAAAATGGCTGGTTTTGCATAAAAACATGATAGTTAAAGTGGTGCATTGTGTTGTTTTTAGCTTCTCATATGTCTCTATATTGATTTATAGAGAAGGTTCTTTCTCTCAACCAATTGCAGCTCATGCAAAAATCTGGAAGTCCTAATCAACACCAGGAGAACTGATCATCCAACCAGTCTTTAGCACTGGTATCCTTATATTATAATAATAAAAATAAAAATGTTATAAGAATATAAAACACCAAGTAGTCTTATGCCTCTGAACCTTCTACAGCCCTTATGTGATCAGAAACTGTGATTTAGGACTGAAGGAGTGAAAATGAATATAGTTTATATCCTAACATGGTTCCTTTTCTAAAGCACTTTAATTCCCTTATTGATGACTGATACCATACAAACAAACCTGCCTTGTCTTAATTAATTAGCTCTGTAGTGACATTAAAATCAAAACCTTTATACTTTCTCTAAATAATCAATTCAACTATGAAGGATTAGGGTAATTCTGCCTTAGTCCCTTTTGTTGACACCACCAGAGGGTGATGTTTCAAAGTTTTTGTTTTGGTGCTGGTTCAGTCTGGCAGGCTGAAATGAGGAGACATTGTGTTCTTTTCTCCTCATGGGTAGGTGCTGTGCAGGCGATTTGCCTTGAACCAACTGACTTAATCAGCATGCAAAATCATTCAGGTATGGCTTTCCTTTCGAAGAGAAAAGGAACAGGACTCAAACATTCTGATCTCCAAGTTTTATAACATATAGTTGTTTTACATTCAATAACAAATGCTGACAGTATTGATCAGTGTCTATAATCGGCTGCTTGTCTACCAGTCTAATAGAAACAGGTTAGGATTTATTCTTTAAAGCTGACCTTTTTCATATTTTTCTTATCTATTTCAGATTCTCTAGAGAGTTCATATAGAGGACAAATTAATAAGTTAAGTTTCAGTAGTGGGAGTTTCTAGGGCGCCTACCTCAGACTGGCCTTCCTTTAGGTCTGGCAAACAAAAAGAAAAGGATTCCCCGCTCTCATACTCTGACTCAACTTCTCATTAATGGGCGTGCAATTCTATGCTGTTTCTCTGAGTTGTTTTGAAACAAGGACATTTTTTTGTTGTTTTTTTTGTTTTTCTTGAGGATTCATATCGACATTACATCAGGTAGCAGTGTGCAGATATTTGGGGACATCAAATATATGCATATGTGAATGACTGCTACAAAGTACTGTTGTTTGCAATATTAAACACAGTGTCGTGCCAGCGGCTGTTATAGAATCGAGTGGCAGCATAGCCGGAGTGTGATTCACACAGTGACTCACTGACAACACTGCTATGGTGTGTGTGTGTGTGTGTGTGTGTGTGTGTGTGTGTGTGTGTGTGTGTGTGTGTGTGTGTGNAGAGAGAGAGAGAGAGAGAGTGATACAAACTACACACATTCTCTGTCAGACCTGCCTTCTGCTGCCGGTGTTTTAGGAACCTTTTTGTGCCCCATGCCCTGGAGTTCACACTAGCAGACAAGGTTAAGTGCTATCAGGAGCAAAGGTTTGTTTCCCTCTATAACAGTGATCAGTAAAGTTGATATTTTCCCCTTCCTCCTGCAAACAAAATTTTGTCACAGTTGCAAAACTTACTTAAAACATGGAACAAAAATCTTGTAGAGATTTGGAAATGCTGAATATAAAAATGTTGTATTGATAAGCAGAATATTCATAGTGATTATATTTTTACTCAAAGTGTAAGAGAAAAGTGTATTTTACACTGAAAAGAAATGTTTGCCTGATAAGATACTGTGGCTGAGGGCTCCTCAATCCTTTGAAAATAGAAAATTAAGGGAAAACGGGTGCAGTTTAAAAATAAGACACATCATATGCAGTCTGACAACATAAAAAGAGAAATAAGATGAGTAAAACACTCTATCTCTATTATCCTTTTGTGGTGGAAATTCTATAGCAAACTTGCAAAAAACCAGATAAAATAACTGTTAAAACTAGCTATTCTACTGCATATGAAATAAACAGAAATATTCTTTATAAGTTATAAAATAGTCCTTCTCAACTGGCCCATATTTAACAATCATTTGAATCGACAAACTTTCTAGTGTAACAAAATAAATAAAAAGATTTGTTGAAACTTCTAAGTAACTTTCCAGTAACATTTAGTGAATTTATTATAAGCATTTACCAAACCTTACTGTTTTTCAATGGTTTAATAAGCACAAGGAAACCTGTGTGTCGTTCTTTTTCAATAATCTTTTGCAAACATTTGCTGGAGATTAATGTTAACTAATTAAGCCCTACTAAACATTTGGTAAATATTAAAGGTTGTAGATAACTCTTCAGAAATATTTAGCCACTGTAATCTTCATTTTTGTGTGTTTGTATAAGATTGGCTTAAGAAGCTGCTAATTTCCCTGCATTCTTTAATGAACACTTTTCTAGAAGTCCTGTAATCCTTGTAAAATATTTGCTTAAGGTTGCAGATCAATTTCTATTCCTTTATAATTTTTTCGAGAGTTTTGGCTTATCCTTATTTATTTTCATATTCACTATTCCAGGCATCCCCAAACTCGGTCCTCAAGGCCCCCTGTCCTGCAGGTTTTAGAGGTTTCTCTGCTTCAGCACAGCTGGTTATAATGGTTGCAGTAGACCAAAAGCCTGTTAATCAGCTTTCAATTAAAATCAGCTGTGCTGGAGCAAGATGCTCACCTCAGCCTCTCTTCATGGCATCTGAGTATTTATAAAGCATTTGCTAAATGTTCTAAATAACCTCTCTGAGGCCTTTAGCAGAAGCATAAATGCTTAACTACCATTCATATTTTTCCAACTAAACACTTTTTGCAAACAGTAGCCTTAAGCACATATCCAGAAGACTCACTTAACCAAAATGTTTTGCTTTGTTACTGGCAAGGTTTTGGAAATAAGAGAGAGAAAAATATTAATAACTAAATGCACAGGATAAGTATATTAGAACAACCAACTTCTAAACAGTTTTTATAGC